GAAAAGTAAAATATAACGTTTTAACGTTTTAAAAATAACGTTTTCGATCTGTTTGATCATCACTCTGATGATGATCAAACAGATCGAAAACGCTTAGACTCATAATTTTAACAGCTTTTTACCTTAAAGTTTTATATTTTAATTCTTTTCTAGTTTACGGAAAGGGGATATTTCTATAGCTAGGATATTTTCTCGTACAGCTTGGTTATATGTCACGAGTTAAGTTTTAATTTAAGCTCAAATAGATTGTTCAGATATTTTCAGGAATGATCATTCTAATCTCGGGCAGATCCTTGGACATTTGTGGGTTTGGAAGATCTTTCAGAAAACTCGACGCCCCAATACTCTGTAGACTGGTTTCCGTTGTGCTCGTAACAATATTGTTTTTTCCCAGAATACACACGAGACCCAAATCGCATTTCTTAATTATCAGTTTGTGATTTTCAGGAGTTTGAGTTAGAATTTCATGTTAGAGTTAGAGTTTTATGAAAGACATATTTGATCTATTGTCTGAGAAGCTTATCATTTTCAGTATGTCCTCTATCAGGGAGAGAAATTTTATATCCACTTGCAACTTAAAAGATTAGAGCATAACTTACTATAGCGTGAAATTGTATTGAATACGTTTCATAGCTGTTTGATAACCTTTTTTCACAGTTAACTTTACTCATTTGCATTACAAGATAATCCAGCATATGTGTAAGGCAATATTTGTAGTTTCTGCCCGAAATTGCCTCGCCTCCATGTTAGATTACATTGTAATGCAAAGAGGAAAAATTAATCTTTAAACGGGCTATTGTTTTATTGCACTTATGATTGGACATAATATTTATCATTATTCTAAAGTCTAGCCCAGTTCCACATGTGCTTGCATCAGGTATCTGTGGGACAGTATGTTACCCTTACTTAACTATGCTTGAACTAACTGGAATACTAATCAGGCTAATAAGAATGCTAATTAACTGAGCTGGGATGCCACAGGGTAATCTTTGCTGACATCATTGTTGACATAAAGAAGACATAAAGAACACATCATGTCAGATATGAATTAACTTTTACATGGTGAAGTTTTAAGCTCTTTTGATCCATTATTGAAGGAGATAGTGGTTTTAAGAAACTGCAGAATTTCTGGGTGGCAAAAGTGTTAATGGGCCCATACATTCTTTGTGAAATTTTGAGTTTTTAAATCTACATTTCACCATAAAGCTGAAATCATACACAGGTCTATATTGCTTGAAATGGTTTGACAGCATTCCCTTTGCTTTCTGAGAAAATGGGAAAAATGGGAAAATGGGAGAAGTTGCCAGAATTGCTGAAAGTAATGACTTGTTAGTATCCCACTAGCACTTTTTGGGCAAGTTGTAAATGTTGTTGTCATATGACAAATTTTTTTTAAAAAAATGCACTGTTTTTTTTTTTTTCTCAGTAGGAGCTAAATCCAAATGTTGAGGCGAAACTGTCATACTTACTGAAATTTGTACAGAAAAGTGTAGAAGAATGCAATCAAAAGGAAGAATCAACATTTACAATAAATGAGGTTGGACTACAAAATGATTTTTCTGAACATCCTTGTAAGGTGATTTACAAAATATTATTTTATAAAAATTCATTACAATAAAGATTTTTAACTGGGTGCTGTTACATTTGGTAGGAGGCTGATGATCAATTGATTGTGAAAATGAAGACAAAGCTACAGGCAGGTGTGCCATTTGTTTGGGAGTTCCACTGTTCAGTCGGACAAAAGGACATGGTATGTAATAGGTAAATGAACAAACATGCAAGAACATGCAAGCTCCTTTTTATTACACTCAGGTATGTAGTGTCGAGGTTAAGTCTGTATATGAGCCAAGTGACCCATCAGACTGGAGCTTATCCCAGTTTCTGTAGCATGAAGTGATTAGGAGTATTTCTACTCCCCCCTGAATGGGATGCTTGTCCATTGCAGGGTTACGCCCCCAGCATCAAGTTTATACACGTGGGCGGAGAAAGGCACTGTCAGAGTAAAGTGTCTTGCCCAAGAACACAACACAATGTCCCCCAGCCAGGGCTTGAGGCCCACTTATAAAACCAAAGCAAATAAATCTCTTCTCATTGTGTTCATCTGTGCTGTATTCTAGTCCAATTACATTTTGATCAGCAATAGTTTTGTTTGTTGTCAAGGTTGGATCACAGCTGGTTCAGCCAATGTTAGCCATGATTAACGAGTTACAGAGACGTCAAACTGAGCTGTGCGTTCTGCTGAGGAAGAAAGATCTGGAGATTTTGGATTATAAGGGTTCAGGAGTTCGCTTGTCAAGAAGTACAGTCTATGTCACATTGATTTTTTATTAATGAAACGGTTGGCACAATTGTAGAGCACACTTCTAGCTCAACTTTCGTTTTCCCAGAGTACCAAAATTGCCGATATGTACTGCACATTGCACCTAATAGTCACTCGTAATTTTGAACTGTAGAATTATCTCTCACTTCGCCTCCTTGCCCAGAGGCTAACAACTAACACTTCCATAGGTAAAGGTAAAGTCTGCATACGAGCCAAGTAGCCCATCAGGCTGGAGCTCATCCTGGTTTCCCTAGCACAAAGTGACTAGGAGTATTTTTACTCCTCCCTGGACAGGATGCTACTCCATCACTGGGTTACCCCCAACATTAAGTTCTCCAGTACCCATTTATACACCTGGGTGGAGAAAGACACTGCAAGAGTAAAGTGTCTTGCCCAAGAACACAGTGCAATGTCCCCAGGCAGGGCTTGAACCCCGATGAATGACTAGACACTGAAACTGGACAGTTCAATAACCATAGTATGAATTTGTCCTTGTCCAATTTGGAAAGAATTGAATTAAAACGAAATTCCTCTGACTGCCAAATTGGGCTTCGTCTGCAGACCGTAGTCTAATTTAGCGGTCATCAGAATTTTATTCATCCAGTTTTTTCCAAATTGTACAGCATTTGATCCTATAACATATACTAATATTTTAATACTCTTTGTTTCAGAAAGCCTTGGAACTACTGAGTTTGATGAAAACTCCTTCAAAAGCAAAATGATTCTTTCAGCGGTATGTCAGTTTAGTTGTTGAGTACTATTCATGCAAGAGCTCAATTTGCTTTTTTATTCACAAGATATGGTATTAAAAGTTAGCAAATAAAAATGACATTAAGCTCTTGTTTTAAAAGAAGAAAATAAACGATAAAATACGTTGAAAAATGCTAAATCATGTACTACAGAATTACAATTGAATTTCAGTTTTTCATGGCGTCTGATTGGATCATGGAATCCTTTGTGTAGACATCCGAAGATGTTTGCAAAATTTTCGGATAATACTTGGTTATCTTCGGATGTCTTCGGTCAAGCGTCAGCAATCTTTAGAACAGTATCACTTTACTTGAGACCAGTGTGAATTTTATTCGCGGATTAAACACATCTGTTAAAAAGCTTACTAAGTAATAAACGTGAAATGTTGGCTAATTATTTTGTGGGACACCTCGTAGATTTGTACATTGCGTTATGCATAGACCCTTTTCATAAATGTGCCTAAATTTGAATAACAATACTTATATATTCATGCGAAAAATCTTTTGTTTGCAAGCATAAGTACGAGGCGAAGGAGTAAGGATGTACAAAGTATTGTCATTCAAATTTAGGCACCATTTTTTCAAAGTTTCTATCGCTATTCAAAACGAGGTTTTTCATTATCAGTGAGTCGAAAGTACTTGTTTGCCGCGCTCTGTGATTTCTAGAAATAACGTCATAAAGAGCTCTAACCAATCAGGAGAAACTTGCTGTTTATAAGCCAATCAGGAGTCGAAAAATAATTGCGTCTGGAGATACACCCGTTTTCCCGCGTTCAGCGTCGTTTGCAAGTTTTTTTAGTTTGCCTCAAGGTCTTATTAGTTCGTAGATCTTAAACAGTTTAATGTGAAGTGTCATGAACAAACTGTTTTAACTCCAGCCTGGCTGGGTTCGCTGTGTTAAACTCTTGGGCAAGGCAATATTTCTCCTTTTTCCCCAGAGGGCTATGGGCCATATATTTAGGTATCCCATGTGAATCATAGGGCAAACTTGGCTCATATATTGTGAGTTAACTACGTTAAACTAGCATTCCACACAGGGGAAATAAACATTTATAAAATTGCAGTATTCAGAGAGGAAGCCACATCGGATTTAGCTGATTTTCATGCGGGGTCGAATTGGAATTTGGAAGTGTTGGTTTTTGTGGAGGAAGGAAAACCGGAGAACCCGGAGAACACCCCTCGGTGCGACGAGCGACGAGCGACGAGCGACGAGTGGGGTCTGGTAGAGAGAAAGGGTAGGTCACGCGCCCGTCCGCCCGCGCCTTCTCATTTTTCTCTTCCAGACCTCGCTCGTCGCGCGCTCGCTTTTTCGATCGTCCCCACTGACCGAGAGCCTGGAACAAATAAACTCAGTCCACATATGGCACCAGGACGAAATCGAATTGGGGTCATTGGTTAGGGTTGAACGCTCTCACCGCTACGACAAAATTCTTAACGAGCCATACCGTATTTGGGGTATCCTGAAGAGCGAGTCAAATTACAAATGGCTAGTGCAGAAAAAAAATGTCGAAGGCAAACTCGCTGATCTAATGATAAAACAGTTGAAGAATTCGATTGTAATTATGATTTGCGTAGTTGTGATTAGGTTGGTTTTGGTTTCACAACATTCAAACGTTAAAAAACTCCTTGAAATCAGCTATGTCAGCCCTTTCCAACGACAGGAAATTATCAAATGAATAACGTATAATTAAGATTACGTTTCTAATGCAAGAGAGTATGTGAAAGGCCTTAAATTTCACATCTTCTACATAGTCACTTGCATACTTCACTATCTACGGGTACATTACGAACAACGTGACCAGCTCTCAGTTAGCATCCGTATCGCATAGGTCATGGGTTCGAATCCCGTTCAAGCTTCAATTTTTGTGGAGGCATTATCTTCACCTCTGCTTAAGTTGTGTACATAAGTGCGATGATAATTCATTTACTTACATTACGTTTCTAAACCTAAAAACAACTTTCTTGTGATTTCTTTCTAATTATTTTGTTGCAAGTTGTTTTAAAATTATTCTCTGTCTAGTCCGGAAGGGCCGTGTAAATCACTTGGAAGTCTATTTTCTTCTCAAGTTTAATTCATTTAGACCTTCCTAAATCTTAAAAATCCTTATTGGTTTTGGCTTTTGGCTCGTCTGTTTGGTGTTTTTCTTCCTTATGAAGTATTTGAAAAGTTTCTTTTTATTTTTTAATCCTTTTGTATCTTATCAGTCAGTTCACTCCTTTTTTGTTTTCAGTTGTTGTTGTCTCTTTGTTGTTGTTCTATCTTAGTCAACTATTTGAAATTCTTCTTTCATTCCCAAATCTGCTTAAATCCACGTCAGTCCTAACCATCCTTATTTCTCTTTAGCTTGTTATTGTCTGTTTGGTGTTTTTCTTTCTTTCTAAACTATTTTTGAAGGCTTATTCGATGTGAAGTATTGTATATTTTTCCTTGTGTCTACCATCTTCCGTTGCACTCTCAGGGATTTGAAGACGCTGTGAAAGAAGCTGCTACAAAAGGATTTGACGATGCTTCGTGCGAGCTTTACAAACAGATCATGATTAAAACAGCATGGTTGGCAGAAAAAGATTTACCTGGTAAGACATAGAAAGATTTACCTGGAGAAATTTGAAAACGCAACAATCACCGGTTATTTTGGAGTTTGAAGAAATTCGGCGAGGGAAATCACTTGATTCTCGAGACGTCATCGTTTTCGAAAAGCTCCATTTTCAAAATGTTTTCCGTCCACACTGAAACGAAAGCTGGCGTTTACAAATTCCTCCGTTTTGAAGGGCGTTTTCGAAAAGCTCCGTTTTCAAAATGTTTTCTGTCCACACTGAAACGAAAGCTAGCGTTTACAAATTCCTCCGTTTTGAAGAGCGTTTTCGAAAAGCTCTATTTTCAAAATGTTTTCCGTCCACATTGAAACGAAAGCTAGCGTTTACAAATTCCTCCGTTTTGAAGAGCGTTTTCGAAAAGCTCCGTTTTCGTGGCGGATTACGGTGTGGCCGGTAGGCGAACCGTAGAAATAAAACTGAGTTTTCAAATTTCTCCGGCGTAGTTTTGCTTTTAAACGTTGTTTTGACAAAGCGATTTTGCACCGAAGAAATTCGCAACATTTAATTTATCCACAGCTACATATATTCAGACATGTCATGAGTGGTTCTGGCTGGAGTCTGGAGAAATCTTTGCAGCCGCTTCCATTGCTTCAATATGCGATATAGCACTATATGGTTTATTTTACATTTACTATTCCACATGATATTCTATTAAGCGATTAGATTATGAGCTCGAGGTTTCTATCACACATAGAAATCGAGAGCGAATAATCTAATTGTTTTAGTCGTATAAATCTACTAGTCTTTCAAAACTTTATCTAGATACTCCTCACAGACACTTGTTAACAAGCGCACATTGCTATGCTTCTCACTATCTACCACAGAATAGATAGTGAGTAGCGTAGCCAATCAGAGAACGGCATTCGTGATAGAACGCTAGTAGATTTATACTAATCGCAGATATCTGAGAATTGTGTGTGATGTGGAAGAGTAAATGTAAAATAAAACACAGACACCCCGAAAACGCAATGAAGCGGCCTTAATTTTGCTAACAACCGCACACTGCTGGGCTATTCACTGTCTACCACAGATAGTGAGTAGCGACGTATCCAATGACGGTATGGCATTCGTGACAGAACGCTAGTAGATTTCAATGAACTCACCGTACTCTTGGACGTCTTGTGCTTTTTTGCTTTGTGGCGCACACGCTAGCTGCCCCTAGACAGATGTTTTGTAACATGTCGATAAAAAGAACAACGCAACGAGGGGCACTAGTAACTCTAAAATCAATGTTCTGAACTAGTTAACAGCGAGTAAGGTGTGCTGAACTGCGCCTTGTTTATTGTATTTTACTAGAACCAGAGGAAGATGATGAAGACCCTGATGATATTTACGGGTCAATAGCAGTTGGAGGAGCTGTGGGGGGCCCCAGTGCGCCTTCGTGGACTGATTTGCCCCCACCATCCCTCCTAGGAAAGCACGGCGAAACCTTAACAACGTCCCCTAGGGGATCCCCCAGGAAAACGCCTGTCACATCACCTGCAAGGTCTTCCGGGATGTCATCGCCTGCTAATTCACCGTCAAAGGTAAACAAGAAGAGTGGAGATAAAGGATACAGGAGATTAAAGGGAGTGGGGTAGGAGGATGGAGGGAGCGAAGTAAGAGTATGCGATATGTCTTTGGGTTACTAGGAAAGGTATTCGAAGTTTAAAACTGAAAAACTAATTTTCGATGCCAAAAATTTGTTTCCTTCGTGTCTTAATAAGTTTCGTTCTTAAAACGGCTACCTGATGTTACTTCAGAACTAGAACTAAAGTAAGTCACATCTGCCAATCAGCTGTCAATTACAACAAACACAAACAGGTTGACGAGCCAATCAGAACCCGAAACCATAGCATGCTGAGCTCGGGAAAGCGCGTGTAAGCCACGTCCCGATTGGATTGGGTATTGCGCAATGTAATTCGCCTGATTGGTGGAAAAAATGTACGTCTGTTCTGATTGGTTAGAAAGCGGCGCAGTAGTTTTTCACCCCTTATAACAAACCGCTGGTCTAAAAAGTAAAAACGGCGCATAATTTTTGGATTGCGTAACCCCTTCCACGAATTACCGAATTTTTTAATAATTTTGGATATTGTTTTTACAGGACATGGAACTTCAAAGACGAGAAGAACTGCAGAAGAGACTAGCCGAGGAAGCTGAACGAAAGAAAAGGAAAAAACGCAAGATTAACCTTTAAAATTACAGGCGCAAAAGACGTGTTTCGATTAGGCTCCACGTATGCTGGCGCTAAAAGTTCTTTCATGATTACCTACTGCCGGAGACGTTGTCTGATGGCGAGTACGTTCGCTTCAAAAACAAGTTAAGTCCCTGACACAAAGGAAAACAGAACATGACAAAAGTAGAGAAATTTTTAATTCAGCACATGACATGTTCTCAAGCCACCGGTTAATGAGTTCTCGCCATCACCAAGAGAACCAACACAACATAACATTTTATTGACAAATGCTATTTATATTAAAGAGAAGAGGGCGACATGTGTTTAAAAGCAGCATTTAATAGATTATCTTTAGATTTTAAAAAAATTGTTAGGGCTACTACGTATACCTTGAAAAATTTTACAATTTGCGAAATAGAACGTCTTAGAAAAACGTATTGTACGAATGTACAGCTTCCAAACGTTTTATTAATAGATTACTTTTGTCAACATTTCGTCATCTTTCTGTCTTTCATAATTTCTTCATCCGATAGCGACGTTTTCCTTTTCTTTGACTTCAAGTAAATTTTGGATATTCAAATTTTCCCGAACTGTCATACAAGAGAACCCTATTTGATCACTGGTTCTTTGTCACGCAGAAAAAAGCTTCAGTGCCATTTACAATAAATTGATAAGCTTGATGAAAAATTTGTCTTCAATCCCCATGTAATTTGCGCTCGATATAAACAGCGCCATATGTTCAGCCTCGTACCCATTTAAATAAGAAATTTAAGGCAAAGCTGTCTTCATAGGCAACACTATTATTATATCACAAAGGTTTGCAGTTTAGTGTCCTAAAAGATGGCGCGAGGCAGTTGAAAAATGTTTGTAAGTGAATCGTGTTTCTACAACTGTGTGTTGTTTTCTGTATAATTTACAAAAACGACATTTGCTGCTGGATAAATAAATGTGGACTGTGTGTTTTTCAGTTACGAATCTATTAAAACAGAATTATATCACATTTTGTTCTTGATCCTATTTAATAGCTACAAAAGCAATTTTCATTTAGCCGGGAAGTTTATAACAAGGTTTAAACTTTAGCCAGTCGTTCTAACTTGGTCATCACACAGCAGTCTTTACCCTTTCTCACCACCCACAGCCCCCCCCACACTCCTCTCCCCTCTTCCCTGTGTACCGAAGAAAATTACAATTAAAGGTCTTGGGTAAAGCAATCTTGGATTGGATTCCATAACTGCTTAGGGCTTTGGTTCTAGACGGATTCTTAAAGTTAAAGGAAGAAAGAATTGGTGGATGGATAGGATATCGCGCCAGTGAAAAAACACATTCAGTCGCCTGTAAAAAATATGTCACGACTGATATCACTAAGCAACATAATTTCTCCCAGGTATTTATTGCCCATTACCCAAAACAAAGTTAACGTGGGTGGAAAATTTGGAATTTGTTTTGTAAAATGCCGGAAGGATAGAAAAGTAGTTTATTACATTAATGTAGAGCGAAAGGGTCGCTGCGCGAAGAAGGCCATTATTTGATTTACTCAACTGCTTTTTGTTAATTATCATTGAAAATGTCCACGTTAAAGCATCAAATCGCCAAAATTTGCATTAAATTCACATTTTTCCACCAATAATGCGCCCATACTCCAATTTGTCTGCAGTGAATACAATTCATCTCCGCGGGAACAAGAAGCAGGTGCAGCGAGAAACGTCATTTCTTGTCGTCTTCATGTCTGCAGTTGTGAAAAATGTTGACAGTTTGATGTCTGCCAGCGGAAGAATAATTCATTTATTCAGCTTACTTCTGGTTATCCATTATTATGAGGACAAAAAAACGACACCGAATGCCATTCAAGCGTTCATTTATTGGCATGCTGTCACGCGCGCGTGCAATAGGCTGCTGTCAATCTTAGCTTTCCATTGGTTTCTTTGAAGTGTTATGCTGGCTGTCCGGTCGATCAATTTAGCGAAGAAGACGATTTGAAATCTCGCAACACGAGGCTCTTTGTTACGCTTTGCAACCGAAACTGGTATGTACAATGCTTTTTACGGACTTCTTGTTTGTAATCTATTTAAGCTCAATTTAACAAGGTCAGTTGGAAAAGCCATCTTTAAAGAATCGTTATATTTAGCTGCAAATTTAAAATACATGGAATGCGATTAAACGGTGTGGCTCTTGAAGTAAATTTATGGTATTAGATTTATCTTAAACCCGAAGAAAGGTTGTGATTTAAAAACTGACTTGTCTTGCATCTTGCGTCTTGCATCCGTACACTTTATATAAGGAAAAATATTTTTACCCTGAGTTCGATTGGTTTTCATCGTTCAAGTTTTTGTTAAATATGGTGTTTCGAATTTTTATCAAAGTATTTTCAATATTGTATTGGTGAGAACACGCTGCTGTATCCCTCGTAAAACATCAACAACCGAAGTATCGCCGAATTTTAACTTGTAATAAGTTTTAAAAACACGTGATTGCAACAACATTGATATTCATGACCCGTTCTTGATCGAAGTCGCTGGACGCAAGAGCAGATCTCGAATGTAGGTCATTGCATGAGAGGGCGCTAGATTTGCGCGCAAAAAAGAGCTTTTAATTTTACATACATATTGTTTATAGCGGGTAGACGGTTTGTATTTAAACAAACTTGTTCGAGCAGCCGGTCTTACCATTAAAACTTGACAGAGATCGAGTTGAGCGATTGTTCTCACCTATTTTTCATTAAAACAGTTAGTTTTGTTTTTATTTTTCATTCTATGAAGCTGAGGACTATTATGGTAATGTTTTTCGCTTGAATTTTTATTTTCATTGCATTATGTAATCGTGATATAAGGAACGTGCTCGGTTTTTCATCGCGGAGTTAAATTCTTTCTCTTGAAGCTCGAGCACGGCCAATTTTCCTCATCCAAGGTTATTTTGATTTCTTTTGTTTTACTTTTAACAAAAACAACATCGTCCGAAACTGGCTCGTCACCTAGACAGTCACTTTAACAAAGAAGTGAATCGAGATGTCCGGCCTCCTTCCCTCGTCTTCTTGCTTTTCATAGGTAGNTAAGGATGACTGAAGGAAGATTGAGAAGACAGGCCGAGGGGTGGGATATAGCACTGCATATTATTTTTTTAATTTTTTCCCTTCTTTCATGTATTTTCTCTACAAGCAGATCAAAATTTAACAAATTGAAAATGTTCTTTATAATTTATACCAAATGTGGAGTTAACAACACTAAGTATGCAATTTTGTATAGAATACCAGTATAGGTTGTGGTACACTTTTCATTTCTGATGTTTCCTTCTTTTCTCTAGAACAAGCAGTTGATTCGAAACGTAAAGGTAAATCTATTGGTTTCATTTTTATAGGTTTTAGCTTCTTCTAGGCCATATGATGTTTTGTTCATGAGTTTTGGAAAGCAGGGGTTTGGTGAGAGCAATTGCCTTCCACTAATCGGTAATGTCGCCCAGGTTCAAATGCCAGACGCCTTATCATATATGGGTTGAGTTTGTTGTTGGTTCTTGTCCTTGGTTCGATGGTTTTTTGCCAGCTTCTCTGGTTGTCCTCCTGCCCCAAATTAACACTTCAAAACTTCCAGTTTGATCTGGAGACAGTGAACAAAGACCCTCCACTGTTGAATCCCATTTATTTATTTATTTATTTATTTATGTATTTATTTATGTATTTATCTAATACTGGTACTGATCAACTGATTGATTTAATATTGACTGATTTGTTTCGTTAATATTTTTCAAAATGCCACAGTTGGCTTGAAATTTTTCTTTCACTATAGATGCTATCTTTTCACACGTTGTGTACATGATTTTTATTGTGTTGTTCTTTTTAGCATTGAGATGTTGTAGAAAACTCCGGGCTGATGATTCAAAATGCAAAAGAACTTGTCGACAGGTACAGTGTTTATTAGCTGAGATTTCCTAGATTTTTGGTTGTCCATACCATGGATTTCATTAATCTTGACTTTTCACTTTGCTTTTTAGGATCTTCAGTCACAAAAAAGTGAAACAACACTGATTTCAAATCTTGTCAAAGCTTGCGGAGAACCATTAGCCCATAACAACACAGAGGTACTTGCAGTACTACATGTAGATGACATACACTCATTGTTCCATGCCTTAATTGCAACTTTTATCTGCTTGAATTCCAGAATATTTTGGAAGTTCTAATTTTTATTGTGAATGATTTTGTTCTTCAGCGTGATGAGTTTTGGACTTGCCTTCTGGCCAATGCAGGTGAAAACCCTTGTAAGTTATTTGATTTTTATGGTAAATTATTTCTTGTGAAGCATTAATTGTTTAGAACTTTATAGAAAATAACCATACCCACCACAGAAGGGATTTCTATATACCCCCTTTAACCTAATTTACCAAAATTGGGTTTACCCTTCCCCCCTCCATTTGGAACTTCTAAGGAAATTTTTCCATCAGTAAATGGGCATTTATGTTCAAGTGAGTTTTGATAATGTGTTTGAAGCATGCTTAAATGGAACATAATGATATACATATATATGACTGCCCCCTCAGAGAATATTTCCCTTGATGCACCCCTTCTGTTAGGAATTTACCGTGCTGTTGATTGTTCTTCTGCTCAGGGGTTCAAGTTTTGTTCAGTGTTTATTCATGTTTCTCTGTTTATTTTTTGTATGGCACCATATATTATTACACCGTTTGAAATTGAAATTTTGCCATCTTCTGTTCAAGGACCTGCAGACCCATTCATCTATAGTGTTATCAAATTTAGAAAGACCCAAAATTTCTAATGAGAACCTTTTTGTTACCTGCCTTTTTTTCATAGCTCCAGCTTGTCCAACCAATCCACCTCCATTACCAGGTACAGATAGATATTTATTACTTAGGAAAGTGCTGCTGCAGTGTCAAGTTTAAAATGTATTTGCATGTTCATGTCAGAAGAGACTGATGACTCTTTTGAATAAAATGGTTTCAGGAAGTGAGCATTTTAAAAGTTTTGCTGCATGCATGCCTAAGGCTATTTTATCCTTTCCTTGAGTTGGTACATTAACATATTAAATGATTTATTTAGGAAAATATTCTCACATAGGATGTTTTGTTTTTTTGAGATTCAGGAGTTGATTTTGCAAGGGTACAGTGCTGCTCAAAAGCTACTGATTCTCGTTGTTGGCGCTTGTGTGTTCAGGTTTGTACAAAACTACCTTAGTGGATGTGTATGTATGCATGCTTATTTTGGATTTTCCTTGCAAGAGTCAATTAAGGTGAAAGCGTGAAATAAGAATGGATGTGTAGTCAGGAACATATTCATGAAATGTCTGTGATTGGTTCAGTTCATAAATTTCTTGAGTTTACATAGTATCAAGTGACTAGTAGTATTTCTACTTCTCACTGGTTGGGAGGCCATAAAAAAAGCCAATAACTTATTCATGTAATAAATTCACTAAATAAGAGTTTAATTTATTTTAAACAGATGTACACATCAAAGTGGGGAAGGAATCAGAACTGGGAGGCATTTGATGCAGAATGTTCATACAATCCTAAAGAGGTATGTTTTGCAATTGAACTTATTTATTTATGATGTGAAGTGTATATGAAATAATTCATATTTGAACTGCGGTTGTAGATGAAAGCGAAGAATGATCATTGCAGTAAATTTTCCAATTTAAGCAATNGTAAATTTTGGATATTCAAATTTTCCCGAACTGTCATACAAGAGAACCCTATTTGATCACTGGTTCTTTGTCACGCAGAAAAAAGCTTCAGTGCCATTTACAATAAATTGATAAGCTTGATGAAAAATTTGTCTTCAATCCCCATGTAATTTGCGCTCGATATAAACAGCGCCATATGTTCAGCCTCGTACCCATTTAAATAAGAAATTTAAGGCAAAGCTGTCTTCATAGGCAACACTATTATTATATCACAAAGGTTTGCAGTTTAGTGTCCTAAAAGATGGCGCGAGGCAGTTGAAAAATGTTTGTAAGTGAATCGTGTTTCTACAACTGTGTGTTGTTTTCTGTATAATTTACAAAAACGACATTTGCTGCTGGATAAATAAATGTGGACTGTGTGTTTTTCAGTTACGAATCTATTAAAACAGAATTATATCACATTTTGTTCTTGATCCTATTTAATAGCTACAAAAGCAATTTTCATTTAGCCGGGAAGTTTATAACAAGGTTTAAACTTTAGCCAGTCGTTCTAACTTGGTCATCACACAGCAGTCTTTACCCTTTCTCACCACCCACAGCCCCCCCCACACTCCTCTCCCCTCTTCCCTGTGTACCGAAGAAAATTACAATTAAAGGTCTTGGGTAAAGCAATCTTGGATTGGATTCCATAACTGCTTAGGGCTTTGGTTCTAGACGGATTCTTAAAGTTAAAGGAAGAAAGAATTGGTGGATGGATAGGATATCGCGCCAGTGAAAAAACACATTCAGTCGCCTGTAAAAAATATGTCACGACTGATATCACTAAGCAACATAATTTCTCCCAGGTATTTATTGCCCATTACCCAAAACAAAGTTAACGTGGGTGGAAAATTTGGAATTTGTTTTGTAAAATGCCGGAAGGATAGAAAAGTAGTTTATTACATTAATGTAGAGCGAAAGGGTCGCTGCGCGAAGAAGGCCATTATTTGATTTACTCAACTGCTTTTTGTTAATTATCATTGAAAATGTCCACGTTAAAGCATCAAATCGCCAAAATTTGCATTAAATTCACATTTTTCCACCAATAATGCGCCCATACTCCAATTTGTCTGCAGTGAATACAATTCATCTCCGCGGGAACAAGAAGCAGGTGCAGCGAGAAACGTCATTTCTTGTCGTCTTCATGTCTGCAGTTGTGAAAAATGTTGACAGTTTGATGTCTGCCAGCGGAAGAATAATTCATTTATTCAGCTTACTTCTGGTTATCCATTATTATGAGGACAAAAAAACGACACCGAATGCCATTCAAGCGTTCATTTATTGGCATGCTGTCACGCGCGCGTGCAATAGGCTGCTGTCAATCTTAGCTTTCCATTGGTTTCTTTGAAGTGTTATGCTGGCTGTCCGGTCGATCAATTTAGCGAAGAAGACGATTTGAAATCTCGCAACACGAGGCTCTTTGTTACGCTTTGCAACCGAAACTGGTATGTACAATGCTTTTTACGGACTTCTTGTTTGTAATCTATTTAAGCTCAATTTAACAAGGTCAGTTGGAAAAGCCATCTTTAAAGAATCGTTATATTTAGCTGCAAATTTAAAATACATGGAATGCGATTAAACGGTGTGGCTCTTGAAGTAAATTTATGGTATTAGATTTATCTTAAACCCGAAGAAAGGTTGTGATTTAAAAACTGACTTGTCTTGCATCTTGCGTCTTGCATCCGTACACTTTATATAAGGAAAAATATTTTTACCCTGAGTTCGATTGGTTTTCATCGTTCAAGTTTTTGTTAAATATGGTGTTTCGAATTTTTATCAAAGTATTTTCAATATTGTATTGGTGAGAACACGCTGCTGTATCCCTCGTAAAACATCAACAACCGAAGTATCGCCGAATTTTAACTTGTAATAAGTTTTAAAAACACGTGATTGCAACAACATTGATATTCATGACCCGTTCTTGATCGAAGTCGCTGGACGCAAGAGCAGATCTCGAATGTAGGTCATTGCATGAGAGGGCGCTAGATTTGCGCGCAAAAAAGAGCTTTTAATTTTACATACATATTGTTTATAGCGGGTAGACGGTTTGTATTTAAACAAACTTGTTCGAGCAGCCGGTCTTACCATTAAAACTTGACAGAGATCGAGTTGAGCGATTGTTCTCACCTATTTTTCATTAAAACAGTTAGTTTTGTTTTTATTTTTCATTCTATGAAGCTGAGGACTATTATGGTAATGTTTTTCGCTTGAATTTTTATTTTCATTGCATTATGTAATCGTGATATAAGGAACGTGCTCGGTTTTTCATCGCGGAGTTAAATTCTTTCTCTTGAAGCTCGAGCACGGCCAATTTTCCTCATCCAAGGTTATTTTGATTTCTTTTGTTTTACTTTTAACAAAAACAACATCGTCCGAAACTGGCTCGTCACCTAGACAGTCACTTTAACAAAGAAGTGAATCGAGATGTCCGGCCTCCTTCCCTCGTCTTCTTGCTTTTCATAGGTAGATCAAACAGAACTAACTAAAGATTTGGGTTTGAGTTGTGAAAAATTCTGGTGAAGAGGTAATCAACGGACTAACCTCATAGCTGGCATGCAGGATGCTTTTCAAGCAGACTCCATTTCTGCCCTATTTTAGTTAGGTGTTTCAGAAATTACCCTTTTCAAAGAGGTTTTGGGGTAAACTAGCATCTGGCAACTGGCAACTGGCAGTTTCGCAGCATTTCCCACCGAAAATGTAACATAATCAATGCATAGACAAATCGTATTGAAAATCTTTCCATTAAATGTGGGATAATGGAAAGTGTAACATAAAGCAGCAAACAAGAAACATAACATCAGCCAATTTAATGCGAAAAACGCCTCCAGGCAACGGTTTTCACCTGTAAGGTAAAACTAGTGGCTAAGTGCGTGTATGAAAGTTAAGCCAATGGGCACGAGAATAAACATGCCAGGAACACGGTAACAAATTAGAAGTACCGGATCCTGTCATTGTGGAGGATCTAATCAGTTATAATTGATAACGAACCAAGAAAAAACACAAGGCCATTAGACGGTATGGAAACTGTATCACTTAAAATTCCAAAATTTTGAAATGCACGAACTTTTTCTTCAGATTCTGACAAAGAATACCCTGAAAAAGAGGCCATACCTTTTATTTTGAATATAGACATTTTCATAATACAGTCGAACCTCTATTAAGCGACCAACCTTTATTCGGCAACCAGCGGCCAAAGTCCCGGAAAAATTGTCAGCTATACACTGTAATACAAACCTCTATTCAACGGCCACCTCTACTAAGCGGCCGCAGCCAGCTTCTTGCCGTCCCAAGGGTAATTTTGTTTAGTTTTATACCTCTGTTAAACAGCCAGGATGATTTGAAGTTGGACGTTTTTAGCCAGATAAAGGTAAAGGAATGACAATGTGGAAACGTGATTGCTTCTTTGGCTTTTGTTAACTTTATGGACCGCATTATAACTATCATTGTTCTACTGTTTCTCCACTTGCATTTGTTTGTATTTATATTTGACTGAAAACTGGACCACGCCTAACGTTGTTTTCGGGTGAACCTCCAATAAACGGCCACCTCTATTAAACGGCCAGTTTTCTCGTCCCCGAGAGTTGCCGCTTAATAGAGGTTCGACTGTTTATAGTCTCCATGAAGTTTAGTCTGTCTTGCTTGTGTTAGGGTTCGCTTTCCCAGGGCCACTAAATTGGCAATGGCCACTCCCTAAGAGACTGTTTCTCCCATTTTAGGTAGAAAACAATTTCATGCTGACCGTGTGTTCTATTGCGTCAGAAATCGGCTCCTGGTCGTTATTGGTTTGAGAAGAATAAAATACAGTGATCACCTGCAAATCCAAATCTGCAAAGCGCGAATGAATATATTTGAGATTCAGACTAGTTCCAGGTGTTTATGCTACTGTCTTTAGCGGAGCTGAGGGGAAGTTGAGACTCGGGTTCAGGCCCCGTCTACACCACGCCGAAGGAATTTAAAAAAACAGCAATCAACGATCATTTTGGATTTAAGTTTGAGGTAAACTCAGTAAAGGAAATCATATGATTTTCGCGACGCCATCGTTTTCGAAAAGCTTCGTTTTCCAATATGTTCTCCGTCCGCGCGAGAACGAAAAGCTGGCGTTTTCAAATTTCTCCGGCGCAGTGTGGACGGGGCTCAGTTAAGGTATCTTTACTGCGCATGTGCTTTGGGTAGGATGCGTGGCGTGCTGGGCCTAACGGATCGCCATACATCTCGCAATGATGGTATGCGAAAACAAAGAAAAAAATCAGCCGAATCAAACGACCCGTTTCGATTACTGCTGAATTTGGACTGTCACGAAGCAACAACTTTGAAATTACTCCTAGTATTTATTGTAGCATCTCGGAAACCTTTTAATGTTCGTCTTGCCAACTGATATGACAGCGAGGCCTGGAATGTGAAATATAACCTTCACTGCATTTATTTTGGGACAGAAGCGTTTTAATTAAATTCGGCCAGAGGGATTTGCCACCGAATTCTCCCACGCCCGAGTTTTTATAAGATTTATCGTTGCACTTTTGTTAAATAAACTAATTTTTCGTGACCGAAAATCCGAGAAAATAATTCAACAGAGATCAGAAGACTGAAATCTCCACTTGCTCCCACCCATCATTTTGATAATGCTATTTAATAATGTCGCGTCTTTGTTATTTAACGCTGAATTTTTCGACCACACTTATTTGACCCGAGGGATGAAAGAACCCCATGAAAAGCCTCTCTTGGTATGTGATCGCCGTTTGGACGGGAAGTCATTTGTTTTGGTCTGACATTTTTAGAAACCTTTAATTAATTATAGGGGACATAACCCTGTCAAACGCAGCAGGCTCGCTGTGGTACATGCGCAATGTAGTCTACAAAACGTCACTGCACTTAAAATTGTCAAAACCTTCTTTTTCTCAAGGAGATTTTGATCCACGACAACAGCCATTTTAGCGTTGAAGAACTCCACTTGTTTTAAGATTTCCACTTAAGCCCTTGAATTAAGATTCTCGAATCTTGGAGATCAGTTTTCGCGGTGTAGCAAAATCGACAAAAATGTCCCTGGATTGTGCGGTCTTCTCTGATGTTCTTACTTCACGCTGAAAATAAAACCGAGATAATTTTTCACTTTTTTTTTTAAGTCGGCAAGGGTAGCTACCTTTCGTGGTTGGTGTATTAAGATTAAGTTTGCTGAAGACACCCTATACACACACTCAAGAATTCTAGTTATTACACAGCTATCAGGCATTTGGCCAAACTTATGATAAATGAAGAAAACGCTCTCGGAAGAACGTATTCAGTATAACTAAATATTGAGCGAAAATTTGTCAAGGAATTTCATGCTTAAACATAGTTTCTTTAACTGCTCTCAGGGAAATACCAACAAAATCTCGAAAACACTCGGGGAACACTTGAACAAGATTGAAAGAACTCGAGAAATCTCAGGAAATCTCGTGTTCCCGTCCAAAGCTCACTCGAAATTCTCAATCACGTTATCTCGTGTTTCGTCAACATTAACGAACACAAACCAAACGTTTACTGTTTATAGAAACAATTAGATTACGAGCCCGAGTTATCTATGAGCGAATGGTCAATTAGAGGTCGAGTCGACTATCGCTCATAGAAAAAGAGGGCGAGTAGTTTAATTGAATTATTCTCACATTTTGATTGGCTCTCTACTGGAGACAGATGCATAGCTGACGTACTTAACAAGTTTTTGTTCTTTTCTATTAAGTAAAAGATGTAGATTTCAGCTCCACTACACAGTAAACAATGTGAGCAAAACCATAAGGTCTATTTTGGTGGTTTCGGCCGAGCACCGGGATCTATAACAAAACGTTATGCTATAACCTCTTATTACATCCAAGCATGCGATACATAAGATGATACAGAGCTGAACGACAGTTTACAAAGATAGTACTGTCAGACAGAGTTCAGAAAAAACCTGCCGGAAAAAACTCCTAGTGAGGAGAAAAGAACTCGGCAGGAAATCTGAGTAAGGACCATGGCTCAAGCTCTAAATAGCCCATCCTACGAAGCTACACAAGGGACGATATACTTTGAACTGAGTAAATGCCCTAAAAAATAAAATAAAGTAAATAAAAATAAAATAAAAATTACGTTATCTCAACCGAGGTGTCGGCCTACAATGATATCCCACGTGATATTCATCTCTTATATGGCCCTCCCTCATGCACATGCTCATTCGACTGGGTTAGCCCCAGTCCCCACTGCTCTCGTGCCGCAGAAATATTTCATTTCCGGCTAATTCGTGTTCACTCGAACGCCAGCAATTCCATATTCCAAGATTCCATGTTGCCGTGCGTCTGTTCAGTAATGGATCACAGATGACGTCAAAATGTGGTAAGAGCATCAGTGACAAACTCGGCTATCGTCTCGTGTTCCACTTCTTTGTTCTTACCACATTTTGACGTCATCCGTGACCTATTACTGAACAGTCGCACAG